ACTCAGAATTTATCAGGTCCTTCTGTGGAGGTGGAGAACATTTTTTATCATAAGTCCTTTGGAATTGTCTTGAATCATTGTGTGGATCAGAATATCTAAGACATTCACAATTTGTTATTGTATAGTACTGCTGACTTAACTTTACATCTGTTCATATAAGTCTTCCCAGGTTTTTATGAGACCATCCTGCTTGTCATTTCTTACACAACACCATAATATTCCATCACAATAACATACCAGAACTTGTCCAGCCATTCCGCAGTTGATGGGCATCTCCTCAATTTACAATTCTTTGCCATCACAAAAAGAACTGCTATAAATATTTTCGTACATATAGGTCCTTTACCTTTTTCTTTGATGGCTTTGGTATACAAACCTAGAAGTGGTATTGGTGGGTGAAAGGGTATGCACAGCTTTATAGCCCTTTGAGCACAGGCCCACATTGCTCTCTAGAATGATTGAATCAGTTTACAACTCCACCAACAGTGCATTAGTGTCCAAATTTTTTTTTCACATCTCTTCTAACATTTGTTATTTTCCATTTCTGTTATATTAACCAATCTGCTAGGTGTAAGGTGGCACCTCAAAATCGTTTTTATTTGGATATCTCTAATCGTAGTAACTTAGAAAATTTTTTCATATGACTATAAAAGCTTTGATTTCTTCTAAAAACTGCCTATTCATATCTTTTGACCATTTATCACTTGGAAAGTGACTTGTAGTCTAATAATTGTGCCTCTCTATATAACTGAGAAATAAGAGCTTTTTCAAAGAAACTTTTTATTTTACCCCAGGTTCTTTGTAATCATGTTTGCATTGGTTTTGTTTGTGCAAAACCTTTTTTTAATTTCATGTAATCAAAATTATCTATGTTATGCTCACAGTTAGTAAATGGAGCTGGAGAAGAGCACAGAATTGTAGTGTCTCTGAACATAATTTGTACCATTCTTCAAAGAATATTTGGTCCTTGAAGGTAGGGACATGTGTTATTTATTTATTTATTTTGTCTCTCTATCCTTAGGGCTTAAGACAGAGTCTAACTAATAGTTTGTGATTAATAATCATCAGTTGAATTTAATGTCAAGTGGAGCTTTGGATTAGTAGGAGATTGAACCCATAAGGACCCTTCGAATTAAGACTTTGTGATGATCACATGACATTGGAACTTTATTGCTGTGTTTTCTTCATATTGTTTTTTTTTTAAATACAGCTCAGTGCAAACCAGAGTTTTGCAAATATTCACTTTTTTTTGGGGGGGTGAGGCAATTGGGGTTAAGTGACTTGCTCAGGGTCACACAGCTAATAAGTGTCAAGTGTCTGATCTGAGACCGAATTTGAACTCAGTTCCTCCTGACTCCAGGCCCTGTCCTCCACTGCACCACCTAGCTGCCCCCACATTTTTTTTAAATGATCTGTTTACCCTAATTGTTTACCTATTAGGAATGAGACATGCTTTTCACTCTCTAGATCTTATCAGCTGAGATAGAACATTTCAGCTTTGGGTCTATAGGGCACTCAAGCTTATTAAATATTTAAATTAAATTAAAGCCAATTGAATATTCATTTTGTTGAAGTTACATAATTCAGTGTCAATATTAGGTAACATTACTATTTAACAGATAAACTATGAAGCCACAAATAACTAATAGAATAATTTCTCCCCTCTGCAAATGATTAACTTCATGAGAATAAAGGAAAAAGAATTCAGATATCTGAATTATAATCACTCAGTTGGTATAGTCCATTTTGGCTTTAAGTTTTATATTACACTTTACATATGATAGCTGACTCATTTGTTCCTTAGAATAAGCTTGCTGGGTCAGTGCTATTATCTCCATTTACAAGTGGAGAAACTGAGCCTGAAATGGCTTACATGACTTGACCAAGGTCACATAGTTATTATACATATGAAGCCATATTTGAATTCAGATATTCCTGAGTACAAATCCAGTATTGTGTGCATTCCAAATACTGTTTTCTGATAAATTACTTTTTAAAAGTCTCATTTCAAAAATCGTTTTTATTATAATGGTTGGGGTAATTTCCTAGACTCTAATACCACTGAAGGGAAAGAATCCTATCCCTCCCTGCTGCCTTACTTCCTTACATGTATATATACATATATACATACACACATACATATGCACATATATCACACATGTACAGATATGATGGAGTTGGAGGAACAGCATAGAACTGTACAATGTTTCTCTATATAATTTGTGCCATTCCCCAAAGAATATTTGCTACTGCATACATATATAATATATATATACATGCATACATGCATACATAGATATTTTTAAATAGTTACAGTAATATTTATCAAAAGTAAAGACAGAGAAACAGAAAATAAAATCAGAGACAGAGAAAGAAACAGAATGGTCAGATGATGGTGGTGAAGGCAAAGATTAAGGAGCCATCTAGCAATTAAGCTTTTGAGGCATAATAATATTGATTAGGGTCCTTTTAAATACTATGAGAATACTGTATTTGCTTGGGAAACTATGTGGTTTAATGATTCAATTGATAAAATTTATAAATTTCATATTATGGATTAAAAAAATGACAAGAGTGTCAGGGATGATAGGTAGACAGGGAAGGCCTCTCCTTATAGGAATTTGCAGGATGGTTAAAATGATTTGTTGCTTTTTGTGTGTGTGTGCTGAGGCAATTGGGGTTAAGTGACTTGCCCAGAGTCACACAGCTAGTATGTGTTAAGTGTCTGAGGCCATATTTGAACTCAGGTCCTTCTGACTCCAAGGCTGGAACTCTATCTGCTGCTCCACCTAGCTGCCCCAACTTGTTGCTTTTTAACAAACAAAACAAAACAAAAACAAAAACTCAGAAGCCCTGGGTGCTAATCTTTGTTTCAACATTAAAGCCTCATGAAAAATCATGAAAGTTACTTTATCTGAATGAGCCCATTTCCTGTGTTAAATGAGAGCTGTGAGTGGTTTTGGAACCTTCTGATTCTATTGATTATTTAAATGAGTCAGGCATTAGAATTATGAAGAAATTCAGTTCTGGACTTTGCCAGGAATGTTTATTAATTTTGACTCCCCTTCTGGGTCAGGTCATTATTTTCTCATTTTTTTTAAGTCTGCCTAATTTTACCTGCATATACACACAGACCTAGTTTTGAATGAAAAAACAGAATAAAACAAGACAAACAAAACTAGGAAAGAGTAAAAGGTGAAATGGAGAGATGAATTCGGTATCAACTGAGACCTCGGTTGAAATGTCTCCTTTGACACTTAAAAGCTCTATGTTGATAGGCAGGTCAGTTAAACTCTTTTTAAATTTGGTTTCCTCAAGTAAAAAATGGAATAATACATATGCTACCTTATTATTTATTGTTATGATGAACAAATGATATATAAATCTCTAAGTGCTATGTGAAATAACAACAATAATAGTATGGTTATGGTAATCGTAAGAGACTTGTATGGAACAAAGTTTGCAAAACATTACGAGTTATCAAATTGGAGATTCATAAAAAATTGCTACATTAGACTCCAGAATTATTATTATTATCATTTCATGTATAAAAAAACCCAAAAAACTAAAGCTGAGAAGTACCTGTCATTTTTCCAAGTGGGTAATGCTAAAATTCTACAGAAGGGAGAAAAAAAAACAGAAAAAGAACAGTTACTATTATAAAATGTTCCTTAAACTCTTTAGATTTTTTTAAACTTCTGTAATCCAAATACACTGTGTATGTAATAATCTCATCAAAGTATTTAATTCATGACTTATGTGTGACATTCAGGTAAAGATTTATAATTACTAGCTAGCATTTATATAGTGCTTCAAAGTTTGATTAGGCAGCAGATTTAGGTAGGTCAGTGCAAGCCTTCCTATTCCTGAAGTAAATACTTTAAGAGACTCATGATAGAGAAGTTCAGTAAGAAATAACATTTTTAGAAGGCACACAGCAACTAATTGGGTCCTTCGATATAATCTGTCCAGTAACTAATAGGAAAATTACTTTATTACCTTCTCAGAGAAATCAGAGCAGATGACAAAATTAACATTTCAGCTTTGGAGATCACAACATAAAGCGACAGGTTTTTTTTTATCCTACAGCTATTTCCTCTCACAATATAACCACCAATCCTACTTCCCATGGATTCTGGATTTCTTCACCTTAAACTACCTCTGCATCACTCACACTGAAGATGAAACATGCAAGGATGTTCTGCAGTAAATATTCTCATGTAACTTAGTAGTAGTGGGTCAGAGTTGGATCATTGTATGTTTGTTCCTATGGAAAAAGGGACCAGAGTAGTAGGGCAAGACTTTGACCACATATTGAAGTAGGACATTATATTTATATATTTTTTTTTTGTGCTCAGACCCCTTCCCACCTTTCCTTTTTGATCCTTTCTTCCCTTCTGTTAATGTTCCCCAACCTCTGTTAGCTGGCTGGACAGCATTATCAGGTAGCTGTCAGGCTGCTCAGATCCCTCTTAGGTTCCATATACCTACCCTCCATAGCAATATTCCAAGCTCTAAATCGCCTTTTTGAGAATTGAAATTATAAAAATTTCTAATTTGTGTTTGCTTCTCAAACTCTGCATACATGCACACCCATTACATCTGAGTTTAATTAAGCCCTGAGTGTCACTACTCCTTTCACTTCTTCCTCAATATTCTACCTCATATCCATGAGATGATATCACTATGTGTTTGTATAAAATATAGAGAAATGTAACAGAGAAAAAGTCACACATGCATACATTTTGTTTTATTACCCCACTCTTTTAGTGAATGATAGCATAGATGCGTATGTGTTTGCAAGAAATGTTAAAGAAAGTATTTCTAAGTGTCTTTCAAAAATGTGTATTTCAAACACCAGGTAGGTCTGAAAATTAAAAACAACTTCATTCTCTCTCTCTCTCTCTCTCTCTCTCTCTCTCTCTCTCTCTCTCTCTTTTCTCTCTCTCTCCCTCTCTCTGTGTACTCTGTGATCACCCAGACACTCAAGCCAACTAATTATGGACAATCAAAGCCAAGTGACTGAATTTATCCTCTTGGGACTTTCACAGAATCAAGATGTTCAGAAAATAATATTTGCAATATATCGGTTTTTCTACCTCACAGCTCTGGGGGTGAATTTATTTACTGTTGTGACCATCATTTGTAGTCCCTCTCTTCTGGGCTCACCCATGTACTTCTTCCTAGCCTTTCTTTCTCTCCTGGATGCCTACTTCTCCTCTGCCATTGCTCTAAAAGTTATAGTGGATTCCCTCCCTGAGAGGAGAACGATCTCATTCAGAAGCTGTATGACACAGCTTTTTGCAGAGCATTTCTTCGCAGGTGTTGAGGTGATCATCCTCTCAGCCATGGCCTATGACTGCCATGTAGCCATCTGCAAGCCTTTGCACTATGTTACCATCAGGAGTCGCTGCCTGTGTTTGCTCCTCGTGGGGGTGGCCTGGGTAGGAGGCTTAGTCCAACACCATACATCAAATTCCACAATATATCCTAAATGATACCAGGTACTAAGATTAAAGATCATGCAACCAAAAAAATGCAAAAGAAGAAAGTTCATGTACCTCACAAAGCTATGGGCACCAGATGTATTTTTTAACTAAACAAGGCAATTAAAAAGTACAAAACATGCAAGTGTAATGACATGAAATTAAAAAACTTCTGCACAGTTAAAATTAATGTTCTTAGAATAAGAAGGGAAGTGGTTGAATGGGAAAATAATCTATCTAATATCTCAATAAGAGTTGGATATCCAAGATTTATAAACATATATGTGAGTAATTGCAATTCTCCAATAAATATGTGTTTAAAACATATGTAGTTTTTAAAAGAATTCCAAAGAATTAACCACTAGAAGAATGTGTCTACTCAAAAGAAGAAAAAAAATATGAGTAAAAACAAATCTGTTGTTACCTCATGTCCTACAAACGGACAAATATGCTCATAAATGGCAATAATCAATGTAGATGGGGTTTTGAGATGATTGGTGCATGGAGATATCGTGGGTGAAATTATGAATTGATGTAACTTTTTTGGAACTGGGCAAAGTTATTAAAATATCCATGAACAAGGTAGAGCCAAGATGACAGAGTAGAGGAAGCACTATAGCCAAGCTGTCCCACCATTCTTCTTGAAGCAATTTTAAAGTAACAAGTCAACTCAAATTCTGGAATGGCAGAGTCAACATAAGTCCAGATTAAGGTACTTTTTTTCTTTCAGCCCAGAACAAATTAGGAAGTCAGAAGGAAAGGTTAGTTACTCTGGGGTAGAGGGGCCAGTCCAGAGTCAATATAGCAGAAACAGTGGCTCTGGACCTTGGAGACAGCAACAGCATTCAACCCAGAGATGATTAAGGGGTCAGACAACTAGTCAGAAAGAGATTACAGGGAATCAATGTGACAGACACACACACACACACACACACACACACACACACACACACACAAAATGAGTAATACCTCAAAAGCAGAATTGGACAAATGGCAAAAGAACACAAAACTTAACTGATGAAAAGAACTCTTTCAAAAGCAGAATTGGTGAATGAACAAAAAGACCAGAGATGATTAGAAAATTTGACTATCAAGTATAAGACTCAAGAGAAGTATATGTGTATGTGTGTAAATTGTGAAAGAAGAATCATAAGGGATTCAACAAGATTAAGCACTTTAGTATTAAGGGGTACCCTGTGCCTGTCCCTCTGAGTTGTCATATTTTGCAGATACACTGGCTCACAGTATGCAAGAGACCCTTATTTGCACCCCAAGCTGGACTTGTTGCGTGTCCTTGGGAGTCAAGAAAGGTTTCAGTCCATTTGCACTGCACGGGAAAGTGCTTGTGCAGCTACAGATGAGTAGACAACCATATCTTCATAGTCTAACATTTACCAAGGGAAAAGAATATTGCTTTTGCCAACTAAATTTTTCATGATTTCTCCTCCTCTGCCATTTAGGTAGAAATTTCTGTTTCTCTTCCTCTGTTTGTCTCAGTTTTATACATAAGCAAGCTTTTGTTTGGATTGTGAACTCTTTGAGAAGTTTGGAGTTCCACAGGCATGTACATTTTCTTGTAATAAACCTAGGTTTTCATGTAAGACTTGTGAATCTGTGGTTGCCTGTTGTTATTACATACTTAAATGGGATGATGACACATGAAACTCCTAAGAACTTTATTATCATTAGCACAGTTAGAAGGACTCTACATAGACAGAAGACACAGGAGTAAGTCATTTGTGTTGGGATTTTAAAAAAATGGATGAGTGGAACTTTGCATAAAACTCAGTGGGAAAAAAGAGTAGCAGCTGTGGGCTGGGCTGCTAGAGCTCTGCGCACAAGAACTCCTACTCCTCTCCCTTCCCCAGTCTTCTCTTTCTTCCATTGGATGCCCCAACATCCCAATTGCCTCCTAGGTGGTCTCTTTTTACTCCACCCTAGAAATAAGCGTTTCACCACCTGACCTACTGTGAATATTGAGATAAAAATAGTGGAGAAAACTACTTATATGATGTTTTAGAGGTAAAGCCTGATGCCTTCCAGGAAGAACTAAAAAAGCTATATAGAAAAATAGCCTTAAATTATCACCCAGATAAGAATGCAAATAAAGGAGAAAAATTGAAGCAGATTTCTCAAGCTTACAAAGTGATTTCTGATGCAAAGAAAAGAGATTTATAGGAAAGGAGAGGTTAAAAATGTTGTTCATCAGTTGTCAGGGACCTTAGAAGACTTATATAATGGAGCAATGAGAAAACTGGCTTTGAAAAAGAACATAGTTTTTGATAAATGTGAAGGACAGGATGGATGGTAAGAAAGGAGCTGTAGAATGCTGTCCAATTGCAGAGGTGCTGGAATGCAAATAAGAATTTATCATCTAGGACCTAGAATGGTTGAGCAAATTCAATCAGTTTGTATGGAATGGCAAGGGAATGGGGAGCAAATCAGCCCTAAAGATAGATGTAAAAACTGTAATGGAAGGGAAATTGTTTGAGAGAAGAAGATTCTGGAGGTTCATATTGACAAGGGCTTGAAAGGTGGTCAGAAGATAACATTCCATGGTGAAGGTGTCCAGAAGCCACGACTTGAACCAGGAGAAATTAACATTGTTTTGGATCAGAAGGACAATGCTATATTTACATGATAAGGTGAGGAACTTTTCACATGTGTGGATATCCAGTTGGTTGGAGTATTGTGTGGCTTTCAGAAACCAATAACAACTCTTGATAATAGAACTATCGTCATTACTTCTCATCCAGGTCAGATTGGTAAACATGGAGATATCAAATGTGTGCTAAATGAAGGCATGTCCATTTATCAGTGACCTTATGAGAAAAGAATTCTAATAATTGGGTGGAAGGTAAAGTTCCCAGAGAATGGCTTTCTCTCATCAGGTAAGCTACCTTTGTTGGAGAAATTACTGCCTGAAGGAAAGGAAGTAAAGGAGACTGTAGATATAGATCAGGTGGAACTGGTGGACTTTGACCCATCTCAAGAAAGACACCACTATTACAATGGAGAAGTTTATGAGGATGATACCATCATCCCAGAGGTGGAGGTCAGTGTCAAATCTCCTAATGGGGGGACAATGAATACTCTTCATTGTAATGCTGGCTTTTGTATGCAATAGTGAATGAGTGAAAGACTATAATCATCTTAACACACAACTAACTATTGTGTTTGTTGTAATATTCAACCATAGTTGTGTTTTTTAAAGTTAATAAAATCAGTAATATAAAATGCTGACTTTGTAATTAAAAGGGATGGGTGAGAAAGAGACATATACTGGAAAAGGGGGGAATGGAAAAGAATAATTAGGGGAATAATTTCACACAAATGAGGAGTGCAAGGGAGAGATTTTAGAGTGGAAGGGGAAATAGTGGGGGTGGGGCAGGCCATGATTGAGCATCACTTTCATCTGAATTGGTTCAAAGAGGGAAGAATATATACACACACTCAACTGGGTATAAAAATCCATGTTACTCCGTAAGGATATAGGAGGGAAAAGGTATAGGAGGCCAATAAAAGGGAGACAGTGGTGAAAAGCAAAAGTGACTTTTCAGGAGAGAAAGGAGAGAGAGAGAGAGAGAGAGAGAGAGAGTGATGAAGAAAATATAATACAGAGAAATGCTCACATTTTCCCCATTGGTTCTTTATATACACACACTCACACCCATATATTTCCCTTTTATTCTTCCATATAAACTTTGTCATTTTTTTTCTAACTGCAACCATGAAATTAAAAAAAAAAGAGTATTGCTCTTTATAAGGAAAACTATGGCAAATCTGGACAGCATACTAAAAAGCAGAGATATCACCTTTCCACCAAAGGTCGATATAACCAAAGCTATGTTTTTTCCAGTAGCAATGCATGGCTGTGAGAGTTGGACTATAAGAAAAACTGAATACCACATAAATAACACTTTCAAATGATGGTGCTAGAGAAGACTTTTGAGATTCCCTTGGACAGCAAGTATAACAAATCAGTCAATAATTAAAAGAAATTAATTCAAACTATTCATTGGAAGGACAAATACTGAAATGAAGCATAAATACATACTTTGGCCACAGAAGGAGAAGACAGGACTCATTTGGAAAGACTTTGATGTTGGGAAAGGTTGAAGGCAAAAGGAAAAGGAGACAGCAGAAAATGAGATGGATATACACTGTCACAGAAACAATGAATGTGAACTTAGACAGGGATTTTGAGAAGCAAGTAAGAGAATCAGAGGAAGAAATGGGAAAAGAAATGAGAGTGGTGGAAGAAAATCAAGAAAAATAAGTCTACAGCTTCCTAAAGGAGACACAAAAAAATACTGAAGAAAATAATACTTTAAAAAATAGCCTAACTCAAATAGCAAAAGAGGTCCAAAAAGCCAAATGAGAAGAAGAATGCCTTAAGAAGCAGAACTGGCCAAATGGAAAAGGAAGTCCCAAAGCTTACTGAAGAAAATAAATCCTCAAAAATTAGAATGGAGCAAATGGAAGCTGATGAACTTTATGAGAAATGAAGACATTATAAAACAAAATCAAAAGAATGAAAAAAATAGAAGAAAATGTGAAATATCTAGTATAAAATGATTAACTTAATATAAAAAAAGAAGCAAGAAAAGTGATAGCACTATTATAAAGATGTGACATATTCATAAGCGAAGCCTAGAGAGATGAGGTACTATGGTCTATGTCATATGAGGACTTACTAAAACAAACACACAAACATGTAAATGTTTAGTATGAGAAAAGAAGAATTAAGGAGGGTGTAATTGCTGACCATTAGCTGATAATGGCAGAAAGAATGTTATGTGGAAGAAAGATATTTCATTGTGGGTTGTTTTTTGTTTTGTTTTACTTCTCCTTTGTCCCAGTATGGAATTGGGAGTAATGGGTGTAAGTTATCAAGAATTATGCTCAATGGAAAAAAAAATTGACATTAGAGCCATTGTTTGCATTGATAGTCTTCACTTGTAAGCAGGATGACACATTGATAGAGGCATTGTAAAAGAGCTTCCTTTTTGATTATGGGTGAATGTCTATGGCAGGGGTGGGGAACTTGCAGTCTCCCGGCCACATGTAGCTTTCTAGGTCCTCGGTTGTGGCCTTTTGACTGAGTCCAAGTATTATAGAAAAAATCCTTTTACTAAGGGGATTTATTCTGTGAGGTTTGCATCCCATCAAAGGGCCCCAGTTGAGGATCTAGAGGGCCACATGTGGCCTAGAGGATACAGGTTTCCCACCCCTGGTCTATAAAGTTCATTTAAGTTCTGAGATTCTCTAAAATGTAGTGCGTGTTAGATTAATGTGATTCATCAAGGCCTATTTCCTAATACAGGACACCAAAGGACAGCTGCGGTCTTTGATAACTTCCCCAATGATGAAGCCTTACACATTTTGGGAGACAAATTTTGAATTTGGACAGAGAGCAACAAGAGCCTTGGTCAGAAAGCACGAAGAGCACAGCAGTTCTATTGTACTAAAATTTAAGAGTAATGGCTTGTACGGGTTTACTCAATGACATGTAAAATAGTTCAATTATTGCAGGTGTAATTAAAAGTTAAAGCCAGAGAATTGTTCTTTACTGCCAGATTTAACAAAATGCGTCTTCATCATTTTTCTTTCTCTTTCTGCTTTGAGTAGATCTCACCAGCTTCAAACCCACTTGCAGTGACATTACAGAAATGAAAAATTATGTGACTGAATTTCTTCTTGTTGGACTGACCCAAGACCCAGAAAGAGAGAAAATAGTATTTGGCATCATCTTGATTTTCCACATTGCCACGATTTGGGGGAACCTGCTTATCATTGTCACCATTAAGAGCAGTTCCTCACTTAGGTCCCCCATGTACTTCTTCCTGACCTATTTGTCTTTTTCTGATGCTTGTCTATCCACCGCCACAGCCCCAAGACTCGTAGCAGACAGTGTGCGTAGGAGGAAGAGCATGTCCTTTGATGAGTGCATGATCCAGTTATTTACAGGGCACTTCTTCGGCTGCATGGAGATTTTGGTTCTCATCTTGATGGCCTATGGCTGCTACGTGGCCATCTGCAAGCTCTACACTACTTGACTATTATGAGCAGGAAGGTATGTAGGATCTTGGTGGAATTAGCCTGGTTGGGGTCATTTGTGCATTCCATTGCCCAGCTCTTCATTGCCTTGAACTTACCCTTCTGTGGTCCCAATGTAGTCAACCACTACTTCTGTGATTTGCAACCCTTGATGAAATTGGCTTGCACTGACACATATGTGTTAAACCTCTCGGTTGTTTTAACAGTGGCGCCATCTGTGCAGTGAGCTTTATATTGCTAATGATCTCCTACATTGTTATCTTATGTTCTCTGAGAAATCGCAGTAGAGAGGGGAGGTTAAAAGCTCTTTCCACCTGCAGCTCTCACATCATTGTTGTCCTCATGTTCTTTGGCCCCTGTATATTCATATACAGCAGACCACTGACCACGTTTCCTGTGGATAAATTGGTGGCTGTCTTTTATGCCATTGGAACTCCTTTGCTCAACCCTTTGATCTACACACTGAGGAATAAAGAAGTTAAAACTGCTATGAGGAAGGTGTGGAGCAGAGGTAAAATTATACATAAAAAATTACATGCATAGACACCAACACTTTTCAAAAATGATTTAGTCTTACCAGGATGGATGCATTAGATATGATTTTTTTCATATTGGTGTATACAAGGTGCTTACTGGGTGTTTGCCAGGACTTGTCCAGATACAGAAAGAATAGATATAGGAGAGTTAACATTTCAACCAAGCTTGTGTATATTCACTATTGTGAATTATCTGGACTCCAGGACCTGGTCCTGCATGTTTTCATTGATGTGTTCCCATGAAAGGGAAACAATAGTGACTCTGGAGAAGAAGGACCCTTCCATTATTGCTTGATTTTTTTTTCTCTTTATTAATTGATCTAATCAATAAACAGTAGGAAGATTTTCTGCTCTGGGTATCCATAAAGACACATTCAGAAAAAAAATCTTTTGTTGGAATAACTCAAATTAAAACTTTTTCCTAAATGTCTTAAATCATTGGTTATGTCTCATTCTTACTAAACAAGGTCAGTCCCCTTCATATGCAAAAAAGACACAAAATACAACTGAAAGATATTTTTTCAGCATCCCCTCATTATATGTAAAAAGGAACAAATCAACCCCCATCCAAAAAAGAAGAAACCAACTTGGAAAATATCTCTCCATAGGAGAAAGAGAGTGAAATGCTTGATTTATTTCTGTTGCAGAAGGTATTAAACTCTATTGCAGAATGGCTCATTACTCTTATTTATTTTTATCTCCTGAAAAAATCTACTGTTAACAGTTTACATTTTGCTTCTTCTGTTCTATATTTCAAAAGAAATGGGAGGTTTATCTCATCCCCTGCAATATTTTTTCATCCCCTGAAAAGTCTGTTTGGTTCATAGTTCCCCCCAAAAATGCCCATGTCCCCAAAGTTGGGTTCCTCAAAACCACTTTCTGCTCCTCTCTGTGTATTAATTGTTTTTACTCAGAGCCTCCACATTCTCTAAATGCCCATATGTAGTATAGTATAGTATAGTATAAAATAGTATGGCATGGAATGGTATAGTATAAAATCCAGTAAATGGGATCTATCCAAAGACTAAAAATGACTCCTGTCTGTACTACCTCCATATTCCAACATCAACTCCTGAAACACTCAAGGATTTTTGCAGCCTCTTAATTATGACCATGAAGTTGAGATGGTCTAACTGCTTTCTCAATCCCAATGTACATGAGCTACATTAAGCATGTGGCTTACATGGAGTTAATACGTGTCTGTATTTACTAAATATATAATGAATAATATATGTTATTTAGGTGCATGTATTTATGTATGAATGTGATTAACTCTGATGCACACAAAAAAATTAGCAAAGTGATTACTGCACACAAAGTTGGATTTATACCAGGATTTCAGGGTTGATTCAATAGTAGAAAAAAAACCTATAAATATACGTCACTATATCAATAGTAAGAAGAATAAGAACAAATAAGAAAAAAACATACAATTATATTAACAGATAATAGAAAAAATATTGAGATATGCAACATTAATTTTAAATTTAAAATATCAGAAAACTAAAATAAATGGTCCTTTGTTTAATATGATAGAAAGGTAAAACCTTTCTAAAACCAAGACTCAGCATTATACATGATGGAGACAAACTAGAAGCTTTTACAGAAAATCAGTGGTAAACCATAGCTGTCCATATTCTCTAATATTATTGATGTCATAATAGAAATGTAACTGTGGCAATACAAGAAAAAATGAAGGAATTATCACAGGTAAAGAAGAAAGAAAATATTCCCTTTATTCAGATGATATGATGGTTTATTTGGAGAACTCTAGAGAGTCAACAAAAAATTAAAGAATTAACAACTTGAATGAAGTTACAAGATACAAAGTAAGTCCACATAAATCATCAGCATTTCTGCATATTCACAGCAAAATGAAGCAGGGGGAGAAAAAAAATGAATTCCATTTAAAATTACTTAATAAATACTTGTGAGTCTACCTTTTCAAGACACATTGAAGATATATAAGAAAACAACTACAAAATACCATTTACAGAAATAAAGTTTGATAATTAGGGAAATACTAATTGCTTGTGCGTAGGCCAAGAGAATAAATAAAATATTACCAAAATTAATTTATTTATTCTATGGAAACAATAAATGAAATTCATCTGGTGGAAAAGTTTAGGAATCTTAAGGAAAAAAGTACTAAGGGAGTACATAATTTCCATTTACACTCCAAAGCAGTAATCATCTCATAAAAGTAATTAGGTGCTCAAGAGAGAGGTTGATCAATGAAACAGATAAACTAAAGAAGAAAGTGAGCCCAGTCTTCGTAAACCCAAAAATCCAGGCTGTTGTGATAAAAATTCAATATCCAACAAAAAACTACTGGGAAAACTAGAAAGCTGTCTGGCAGAAATTAGGTAAAGACAAGCAAGATAAGTTTCTGGTGGATTCATGATTTTGATGTAAAGGGTGACAACATAAAGAAATTAGAGACACAAGGAGAAAACGTTTGAGGTCTTTCTATGAGAAGATAAAGATATCACAAACAAAAGATAAAGAATATCACAGAGGGCAAAATGAATAATTTATATTACATATTTTAAAAAAAAGTTTCACACAAAGAAAAGAATTCCAGGAGGCAAAATTAGAAGAGAATCAGGGAATCAAGGAAATATTTATAATATTTCCCCCATGATAATTGTACAAATTTAGTAAGTAGATGGTGCAGAGAGGATAGAGCTTTGAGCCTAGAGTCAGAAAGACTTTGAGTTTAAATTCTGCCCCAGATACTCCCCGGCTTAATCTGTTTTCCTCAGTTTCCTCAACTGAAAAGGGGGATAATAATAATTCTTATCTCCCAGGATTATTGTGAAAATGAAATGAGATAATAGTTGTAAAACATTTTAAGCAAATATACTAGGTATTATATAAATGTTATCATCATCATCATCAGTAGTAGTAGTTCTAGTAGTAGTAACATAGATATATAAGGAACTTACTCAAATTTATATGAAAGAGAATTATTCCCCAATTAATGAATAATGAAAAGAATTAATGGCAGTTTTCAGAGGGAACAATCCGAACTATCACTACAGTTAAGAAAAGAAGATGCCCCGAGTCAGCATCATCTAAGGACACAAATTAATACAACTCTGAGGCTCCACTTCATTCCCTTCAAAGTGACAAAATTTGACAAAAGATAGAAAAAAACAAATGCAGGAAAGATGGGAAGAAAAGTCACATCAATACTATTTTGGTAGAAATGTGTGCTGGTCTAGTCATTCTGGATATCAATTTGGAACTGTGCCCATAAAATTATTAAAATATGCCTACTCTTTGACCTAGAAAGAGTATTTCTCAATCAATTTATTCCCTAAATTGATCAAATAAAATGGGAAAAAGACACATACATATGTGTGTGTAGAAAAATGTGTGTGTGTGTGTGTATATATATATATATATATATATATATATATACGTATATATATACATATATATGTATATATATATACATATATACATATATATATATATATATATATATATACATATACACACACACACACATATGTATGTGTATACATAGTATATGACAGCCCTGTTATGGTGGCAAGGAACTGTACATTAAAATGTTTTGTATCCAACAATTGGGGAATGGATAAAAAAAATTTCAATATAAAACAGAGATGGAATTGTATTGTGTATAGGAAATAAAGAGGACAATTTCTGAGAAATCTGTGAAAACTACTATGAACTGATACCGAGTGAGTGATCAGAACCAAGAAGATGATTTATATAATAAAAAATAACGTTGTAATGAAAAACATTATAATGACAAGGTGACTTAAATCATTTCTCTGATTAGTGCAATGACCAACCTTCATTCTAGAGGAGTAATGATGAAACATACTACCAACCTTTGGGCAAAAATGTGATGGACTTAGTGTGCAGAATGAGAAATACATTTTTTAGATGACCAATGCAAGAATGTATTTTTTTCACCATCTGTATTAGTTTCAATGATTTTCCAATGGTGGAGGGAAAGAGACAAGAAGGATTTTTGTCAAATGAAACAAATATATTTTTAAAGAAAAACGTCATACTCACATTTATGCATCTGTAAAAGTTTCTTGCTTCACTCATATTAAAGTGCTATAGAATGAAGGCAAAAGTCATCTAATTTTTATTAAATGTCTACTATGTTCTAGACCCAAAATATTCTTAAACCTTTCAAACACTACCCTATACCATTTCTCAGTGATGAGGACATCAGTGGTAGTCACATTTTCCCCCCTTTCATAGCTTTGTTACCTTAGAACTATATTGAAGTCCCAAGTACCTTTAAAACAAGTAGACATGTTTTTCCATACCATCTGGTCACTGAGTAATGAAGAGAGTGAAATGCTACAGGAAATCAAAGCTGATTAACTATTCAAATCAAGTGTTGTATTTTTATCTATACTTTAGTCAAGGTCAGCAGCTGTGAAGATTTTAGAGAACACATTTAAAATTCAATTTTCCTGTAGAATAATTTCTTAACAAAATTGAACTAAAAGTGCAAATGCTAATAAAAATGCTTTCCTAAGAGCAGCTTATTAGAGAGATGTGATTAAGAAAACTGAATTTTGCCTGTCTTAATTCATTGTACTATGTACATGATTCTGCATAATCTTGGTTTCTCACAGCTGATGCAAATAAACCACATGCTCTGTCGGGCACCACAAAGGTAGATAAGCTTTAATTATGAATCTGGTGAGAGTCATTTAACCAACCTCCTCTTATTGAACTTATACTATGCCTTCCTCTGTCCTGTTCCTCCTGTGGCTTCTCTTCCACTATTCCCAGGGGAATATTTTTCTTCTGTTATCAACCTCTATTTTATTCTTGATGTATTTTTCTCATATTCCTTTTATTTTTTTAATCTCATTCTTGGTACTTTATCCAAGGATGAATGTTTTTTTTCCCATGCTTCTTAAAACACAAGACCTTGAAGACGAATTGACATACTCCTTCATACTAACACTTTCAGACTTTCTGCCACCATCACTTTGACTTTTC